TTTTCGTAATAATGTAATTTAAATAAATAAAAAAACGTGAATTCGTAGACATGGACAAAGTGTAAAATGTAATCAGTTATTTTATTCGTCCGTAATTTGTACAAAGACCTTATATTTTGTAAGCGTATAAAGCATTTTCCACATTAAATGTTGTAATTCGAACGCAATTTTCAATTACAATTCTTAAATACAAATTAACAAATTACCAAGTATATCATAAAAATGTAAAATGTAATTAGGAATTTGCTTTATTTGTAAAGTGTAAAAAAACATTTTTTACTGTAAATGGAAATTTTCCTATTTATTTCCTGTAAAAACGTAAAATGCATTTTTTATTTCCTGTAACCTGTACTCTTGCCCCACCCCTCTAGAAAAGTAGCGATAGAATCAACGACAGAATGAGTTATGTGGTAACAAATTTTATCTTTGGTTATGATTTGAAATAACGCTTAGATTCTAAGTATTGGGGGAAGTGAACACTGGATGAAATTTCTTTGTTTACTTACGAGAAGGGTGTGATGTTACTTATGAGAATTATTTGTATGTTACATAATTGAAAACCATATATTTTCAGGAAGCTGAGTTATAGAGGAACGAATCGAACATACTGGGTAGTTTTTTTTATATCGTATCACGGTCGCCTTAACTACATCTGACATATTTAAGGATGCAGTACACCTCTTTGGTAATGTCATTGTATACTGCTGTATATTAATGAAATATTCAATAAACTATACCATGTTGCATATTTTAAAAAAGCTTATTTCCCCTGGAACATAAAAATAGCTACAGAACATCAAAATACTATTATATAATCACGTGATCACTATGCAAACACAGAGGTGTTATTTTCAAGGAAATATAAGATAATGAATGAAATTGTTAATTTTTGGTGAATATTTACAACAATTTATTTATTTTTAAGTGATTCCTACAGAATGATCTCAAGCTTATTAACGGCCGATTAGAACGATAAAACTAACCGGCAAGTAAACCTAAAAAACTAGTCATAAATAAACACACATAACAATAAAAAATAAATTTAAAAAATGGGGTCTATACCTACATCGGATTTTAATCATTGTCATCTATAATTCTGGTATTGTTCATGAATCAACAATTATACATTATGGCTAATCAATGAACTGCACTGTTAAATGCTGAGCAACAAGTCAATCAGTGCATAGTATTGGGTGAGAGATTCAACTGCATTTTACAACGAAAATAATTACTAATTCCATTGTCAGTAAATGTATGTGATGTGAACGTGTTTTTAGTGTCATTGAGAGGACACATTCAGTCGCTATATATAAATGATGTTGATTGCTGCAAAAATATGGTCACTGAAAAAATATGTGGGCTGTTACTAAAATTATGATAGCAAATTCTGTTTCCCTGTATAAATTGCCATGTTTATTCAAAGCTATTTAGTGTAAATCGTATTTGAAATTATATTTTTTTCAGCAAACAAATATTTAATTGTGTGCTGCAAGAAGATTATAGTTAGTATCAACTTAGAGAATTATTTTCTTGAATCATGGTGATATTTTATTGTTACTATTGTTGTTCTACTGCAACAGTTGTATGAATGCATGCATGGGACCTCCACGCACCCACCAGCATCAATTATAGCAAAAATAAGGCCGCTCTGATAATCTTCAAGGCCCCCTAGGTATTTTAAAAGAATACTCCCTAAGGGAATACGTGAAAACGCCATAATAATAATCATGACGATAGCTAGCACCGTCTGCACAACGTCACCATGCAAGTACATACTAGTATACGGATTTCGGCACACTGGGCAGGGCATTGACACGTCATAAACACACCAAGCCAATACAAATCACGTATGGTTGGTGACAACAGGGTTTTCGAAACGTACCTAGCAGCGGCTTCTCGTCGGAAAAAAGTTATTTGACGAGGCAGTACATCTGTCAAGCCGGCAAACATCCAGTGTACAGTGTATGATAAACAACGACGTACAAGCTATGTGTTTACTCTGATCGTAATCTTGTGACGTCAGCAGGGTCGCCCACACTCACGCTTGTCGTGCATGTAGTCT